CATAAATGATTCAATCAAATGTAATATAAAAGGGCAAAGTAAATAAATAAAGTTAGTTTTTTCACTCTAAATAATACACATAAATCAGAAAAATCTTTATAGTGTGAGACTGAGAGTAACTCCGGAGATACGTGAGGGTCGGGGGTCTATATGCCACAGTATCTACATATGGGTATGCCTTTAATGGGTTTCCCAAGGATAAAAAACTCTTTTATGTATTAAAAGAGATATAAGAGTTTTAATACAGATAAGGGATAAAAGAGGGAAAAGAGATAAAAAGGATCAAAGAGTATTTTAAGATGTTTAAGACATTAAATAGTTAAAATGTATTTAAGTATTAAAAGAGTTATGTAAAACATAATAATGTAAATGTATATAATAAGAGCGTGTTCACTCATAATAAAGAATAACTCTTGATAAGTTTGTTTTTAAAAACTGAGTTCTTTATTAAATAATCAAAAAGTCCCAATACATTAAAACTCGAATAATTAGACATACATCGAAAAAATACCTGATAAAAGTATTGTAGAAAAACTACATGATAGAAAAATATATCTAATGTCAGCGGATGCAGTACAGTACCATTAAACGACATTCCAGATGATTTTATGGTTTATGGTTAATTCCGAATTTATAAATAATGTCAAATTACAATACCTTCTATTAAAACAATGGATCCCGATTTATATTCTATATCATTACTTCATAACGTTCAACTCCAGGATCTGTTAGTCCCAATGATGATAAATTTTATAGTATATTTCCTGTTAAACCTTTCAAAGCACTTTTCCCCAACCTTGAAGTAATGAAAAGTGTAAGCGAAGAAGGAAGTATGGCTGAAAAGGATTTGTATAGCATTTGTATAGCATTTGGATTACTTGGACTGCTGGAATCGTTAGTTGGCTATTTATAGGATTTACAATTGTGTATAGCTTTGTAGAGTTATCATTTGGAATTAAAAAATAGTATTTATTATAATTCATACTGTATTATCAACTACAGAATCACAGTTCAAATATTGCAATTTAGATTTAAAGATATTCTC